TTCTCAGGGAATGCTTCTTCTAGAGTAAAGGAAAACTAGTTATATTAATTTCTGAACATTTATCAAGTAAGCATTGAATCTCATATTGAAGTGCAATATTTCATTGTGCTGGTAAATGCAGTATACTGGTAAACGGGTCAATCCCAGAACTACTTCTACAATGTGGATAAAAGATTAACATACTTGTCATGCTGCATGTCAAATCTGTCTGATGGTTGGCTAGAATTGCAGTGTGCATTAGAATTTCATGTTTTTAACATCATCATCTGATAGCTGGGACGCCTCGAAGAAAGAATAGAAGTTATCTCCCCCTTAGGGCCCTTTGTCATCTGATAGCTGGGACGCCTCGAAGAAAGAAAAGAAGTTATCACCCCCTTAGGGCTCTTTGTCATCTGATAGCTGGGATGCCTCGAAGAAAGAATAGAAGTTATCTCCCCTTAGGGCTCTTTGTCATCTGATAGCTGGGACGCCTCCAAGAAAGAATAGAAGTTATCTCCCCCTTAGGGCTCTTTGTCATCTGATAGCTGGGATGCCTCCAAGAAAGAAAAGAGGTTAGTTCAATTATATTCTTACTTAGGTTATTGTCCATATGTGTTTTAGGCAATCATTTATTTTGTGGAAACTAGAAAGGTATGCAGTTGTAAGTTTTTTGCTTTTCTCTGAAAGAATGGTAAAATGCTATATATGACTCTTGCTGTCTGTCCCTCTGTAAGCCTGAATGTATCAGGAACTGGTGGAATTACATTGGTCAGTGATTTTCCTTTAAAGTCCGTTAACACCAACTACTCACCAAATCTCATTGCTTTTCTTTTCTACAATGCTGTCCTGTCATGATCAGTTTCTGACAATCCTTTTCTGTGGGAGTTATCTCTCTTTGTACCTGTATATGAACATCTATTCTTCTCTGTATAACAGTCGGAGTAATCTCCCTTTGTACTCCAGCTCTATTTGTCTCTGATAATTAGTGCTATGTTAAAAGTCTTGGCTTTGCTTTGCAGTGAAAAATAAAACATTTCAAAGTTTTAGTGAGAGTGAACTTAAGCTACAGTTACTGGATGATATAGATGATATCTGTTCTGATACAGAGTGTAAAATCTGTGGTAAACTGTGTCCTTTGATACGACTAAGAGGTTGCTTCCCCTTCACGCTAGGTAATGGATGCTTGTGCACACTCTTCATTCTCACTTCTCTAGCAAACGCATACTCTCTGTCTACTTACCCAAATAATGTCTGGCCTTGTAGAATGATAAGCTTACGAACTGTTTACCCCCATAATGTCTCCCCTTGATGAATGATAAGCTTACTCACTGTCTGCTTGCCCAAATAATGTCTGGCCTTGTAGAATGGTAAGCTTACTCACTGTTTACCCCCATAATGTCTCCCCTTGATGAATGATAAGCTTACTCACTGTCTGCTTACCCAAATAATGTCTGGCCTTGTAGAATGTTAAGCTAACTCACTGTTTACCCCCATAATGTCTGGCCTTGTAGAATGGTAAGCTAACTCACTGTTTACCCCCATAATGTCTCCTCTTGATGAATGGTAAGCTAACTCACTGTTTACCCCCATAATGTCTGGCCTTGTAGAATGGTAAGCTTACTCATTGTTTACCGCCATAATGCCTCTCCTTGTAGAATGGTAAGCTAACTGTTTACCCCATAATGTCTTGCCTTGTAGAATGGTAACCTTACTCACTGTTTACCCTCATAATGTCTCCCCTTGTACAATGGTAAGCTAACTCTCTGTTTACCCTCATTATGTCTCCCCTTGTACAAAGGTAAGCTAACTCACTGTTTACCCTCATAATGTGTCCCCTTGTACAATGGTAAGCTAACTCTGTTTACCCTCATAATGTCTCCCCTTGTACAATGGTAAGCTTACTGTTTACCCCCATAATATCTCCCCTTGTAGAATGGTAAGCTTACTCACTGTTTACCCCCATTATGTCTCCCCTTGTAGAATGGTAAGCTAACTCACTGTTTACCCCCATAATGTCTGGCCTTGTAGAATGGTAAGCTTACTCATTGTTTACCGCCATAATGCCTCTCCTTGTAGAATGGTAAGCTAACTGTTTACCCCATAATGTCTTGCCTTGTAGAATGGTAACCTTACTCACTGTTTACCCTCATAATGTCGCCCCTTGTACAATGGTAAGCTAACTCACTGTTTACCCCCATAATGTCTCGCCTTGTACAATGGTAAGCTTACTCACTGTTTACCCCCATAATGTCTCCCCTTGTAGGATGGTAAGCTTACTGTTTATCCCCATAATGTCTCACTTGTAGAATGGTAAGCTTATTGTTTATCCCCATAATGCCTCCCCTTGTAGAATGGTAAGCTTACTCACTGTTTACCCCCATAATGTCTCCCTTGTAGAATGGTAAGCTTACTTACTGTTTACCCCCATAATGTCTCCCTTGTAGAATGGTAAGCTAACTCACTGTTTACCCTCAAAATGTCTCCCCTTGTAGAATGGTAAAATTACTGTTTATCCCCATAATGTCTGGCCTTGTATAATAGTAATGACTTTTGTTTTAGTGATATCACTTATTATTTACTCGTATAATCAATTAATAATTAAGCATAATATGGCATATTTTTTTTATGCTGATCTATATAACTAAGAGTTCAATACTTAACGATTATATATTTTCTCAGATACAATTATTGTTCAGGAGTCATAAGGCTTATTGATTCCGATCAATAATATGTAATTGCTATCAGAGTTGAGATCCTGTTGATAATATATATTTGATATCAATGTTGATATTTCCAGTGATACAGATATCGGTATTTGATATCAGATAATATCTAATAATACCTGACTAAAGTTTAGATACAGCATGATAAAGTATATTTACTAGTTCTATAACAACTGGTTTGTGGTATTACATATCTACTTATATTGGTCAATATAGTCAGTACAGGTTCACCCACTGTTCACCACCATTACAAAAAGGATATTGGTTTAAAATGCTGCAAACAAAAATATTTAATTATATTTTTGTGTACAAAATTTGAGTGGAATTAAGTTTGAATGTTTCAAAAATAGTTGGGAGGGGGTTGTTGTTTCTGTATAAGTATAAATTTATTGTTTCCTATAACAATAAACTGTAAATATGTATTATATATATTTTAGATTAGTATTAATTAAAGGGAAAATAAGAAGGAGAATATTTGTTACTGATGCTGTGATAGGTTGTTATGGGTTCTCAATTAATTTGATTTTCCAAATTTCTTATAACTCGTTGGTTTTGTGTCCCTATTTAAAGGCCTGCAATGATACTGTCCATCCTGCCTGGTTTAAGTGCCCCTCCCCTTCAAATAATACCAAACAGAAAAACTTCTGTACTCACTAATAATTCAAAACAATAGTTAGAGTTGGGGATAAATGCCAAGCTGGATAGATAAGCATCAGTTGATGGTGACCCTGAATGTCAAGGCTGTGATAATACAGAGAAGTCAGATAACCTACCTAACAAAAGGTCAAATTCCAGAAATCAAATTTCACAGTATCAGAATGTATAAATGTAGGATCGGCAATTGATAACAGAAAATGTACAACAGAAAAGAAAAGAACTTTCAACAGGAAACAAAACCATTGAATACGATGTACTAAGGGAGTTAACTCTAGGTGTTTTACCAATGATAGTCCCATCCTCGTTACCAAGCCTACACTGTACAACTGATCATATCTGGGGACTAACTCCCTCCTGCATATAAGATTCAAATTTGAGAATAAGCCGAATACACAGGGCCTTTTTTTTAATGACTAGATAATCCCTGGTCGTATTACAGATAACAAATGTTCTCAATGATGACCTAGATTGACCACATATATAATAGTACATCGTAATATGTACATTAAATTAATCATGGGGAGTTAATAATTGGGACTTTTAAAGTTAAGGTATTCATTTTTTCCAACCATTAAATCATTTCCAACTAAAGTGTATACATGTATAAATATTATTTTGCGGAATGACAGTTACGCACACATAATTTGCAGGATATTTTACCTTTTTCTAACACAGATTCACAATTTCCTGACTATTTAGGAAATTTAATGAAACAGTTGAGTAAAACAGATCACAAAAGTAGCTGTTAATTTTTACTGATAATCCCGATCTTTATAATATTGTTTTTAGTAATGTTATTCAAAAATTATTTACCCATCTGTGAGGTGTACCTTATTTTACTGACAAATTGGCGTTGCTACCACTTCCATCCACATTGTGTTTTCTAACCAAAACCTGCTAGCATGATGTTTATATATATGCATGCGTGTCTTTGTACTTGTGTGGTGTACTTTTCTATGTGTTTATAACATTTTTACCTAAATGTATTAATCATATCTACTAATTACTAAGTTTGTATATAGCCTGTGTACCTATTTTTTTCAGAATTAAGATTTTGACTGTTGGGCATGTGGTTATTATACACATTGTAATAGGTGATAAGTTTTTTTTGCAGCTCACACCACACCACACCAAGGTTTGCATTGTACTCTGCAGGGCGGTACGGTTCGTAACCAATGCAACTCCTTTATGTACAGTGGGGCAGAGTCTCCAACACTCCTTACACACTGTCGTATAGTAGGGTGATAGTCTTCATTATATACCCCACCATACCGTGAGACAGGGCCCACAAACTCCACTGTGTAGGGCTAATCTTGTCACATGTGGTACTGTACTGACAACCACTGCCATAAAGCAGGGTGCTACAGGGCTATAATCTCCAACACAGCTTACAAACTGACATCGATGCCAACCATGATAAGGATACAGTGCAGTGAGACTCATTCTGATGGCATCATAACATCTAGATCCTAAACTATGATCCTAAACTTCATAGGACAAGCACAAAATGATCAGAATGTTGGAATTTCAACAATTATAAATGATGAACTATGATGCCAGTTGAATGGGTTTCCCTGTGAGGTACGGCCTGATAGTATATGATGTATTGTGTATCCGTATGCTCTGTTGGTTTCTTTTTAGGGTGATCTACTCTACCTACTTTGAGTTGCCTGTGATTGTGGGTTATTTCCCCGCCATGTATATGTTTAACGCGATGCTATGCCTACTGCTGGTATTGCATGCCTATTGGTTCTCCCTCATCGTCAAGGTGACATACGACGTCCTCACAAACTCCGGAGAGGTATATACTGTCTTTTGTGTATCCTGGCTGCCGGTCACTGTTGCTGACCACAGGTCGAGGCAGTCTGCATGCTACAGGCTATGATTTGTCTTTTTGTGGCTGGATTTTTTCTTTGTCTTGATAGCTCACCTACAAACGAACAAGTGAGCTTATGCTTTGGTGCAAAAACACTGTCTGTCTGCAGTCAACTTTTCATATAATACGCAAGACCAGAATGGCTGAAATCTGAAAAGACTATTTTAGTTCTAATCAACAGATTTTAACCAAATTTGGTATAAGGGATCCATTGGTAATGGATTCTACATGAAAAAGATAAAGTGTGTGGCGCCGCTCGACAGAACAGCAGTTCCCAACAGTGGTAGATTTAAATTATTTTAATTTAGTAAGAAGCATCTTTTGGTCAAAAGTACTGGTTGGGAATAAGGTATAGGTAAAGAGCCGTACCGTAGAAATATTGATATTCTAACAGCAAAAAGAATTTGAGGCCAAATAAGGAATTTATTGATAAAATTTAAAGACTTTCATCATTTCAATCTTTTGACATGCATATAGCTAAAGACCAGTTGAGCTATTCAGGCCCTCTGAGCCTCTTGTTTGATTCCTATTTCATTTAATGTTTAATTTTCCACTTTAAGAGATCATAAAAGATGTTACATACAAAGATCAAATAAATCTTCAATTAAATAATCTTTAAACATAGAACCTTACATGACTGTTCATAAACCTTCTTTGTGACAATATTTTTTGTCATGATTTTCTTTAAAACATTAAGAATTCAAAATATCTCTTTATGATTCACATATTTGAATATTAAATGTTCAAATGTCTTCTGAAGAACAGAAAAGGCCTAGAGTTAAGATATTTTGCAATTAGCTCACTAGCTTGGAGTACTTAAAAGGGTTATAAAAAGAAATGACCCTTGCCATGTCAAAGGTCGCAGGGGTCAAATTTGTTCAAATGTCAAAGAAATGAAACCTTAAAGTATGGATATTTTGACATAGCTTGCTGGCATGGAGTGCTATAAAGTTTGTGAAAGAAATTACCTCGGCTCATATTAAAAGTGACGGGTCAAATTTGTATAAACACACAAAGGACTTTTTCTTAGTAACGAAAAGGCCTTCTGAATTGGGGTTATGCAAAGTTTTTGAAAAGTAATGACCTTTAGATATAGCCAAGGACCTATTTGTTTACTTGAATATTTTACCAATGTGAATCACCAAGTTTTATGAACCCAATAAAACCAGAGTGTAATATGTTACCACGCCGTCTGTCTATCCATCCGTTCGTTCATTCGTTCGCTCGTTCGTCTGTCCACCTGTACACATAACTTTATGACCACAACTAGTCTCACAGTATTTGACTGAATTATGTTGGAATTTCGTAGTTATGGTCCTTTTTTCAGCACAATTTAACCATAGGCATACAGCATAATGTGTTAAAAAAATATTTTTTTTAAAAATACAAGGCGAAAGCATCCCTACAATATATCTTGTTAATCAGCTAATAAAAAAACTGCTATATTCTTGACCAGTAAGGTAAACTATATTTCCCCCTCCAATTTCATTACATCGAAAAAATACTTCATCTTTCCTATATTATAATGAACATGTATAGACAATGGTTTCTTCATGTGCCATTTCATTGCAAAGTTGCATCATGAGGAATTCTATTTACAATACTATGCTGTTTAAAAGAAAAGAAAAGAAATTCCTTGAAATTCCATTTGAAATGGCTACTGTTAGTTCAAATATCATAACCATTATCAATGAAATTCAGCATGGTTCAGTCATCATTGTCATGTGTTTCCCTTTCACCAATATATCATCACTATATAGTGCTACCCGGTATGGTACTATTGTTTATAATAAGGAAGCAGATATATCCCTTACTTGGCCTTAGTTGTAAGAGTATTTTTCATAGATTCTTGTGTGAAACTGAAAGTGTTGGACTCCAGACCTCCACTGATCAACATTCTTATGTATACTAAACTGAATTTATGATCAGTAGATATATCAGTTATCATTTAAGGCTGTATGTACACTACCCTTTCTACATATGATAATCATATGCATCTCCTGGCCAAAAGAGTTCCAATGTCAGAAATCAGAGAAACTTCAGTTGTTAACTGATGGTAAAGGTATTTAACTCATTCACCCCTGAAGTTTCATAATGAACTATTCCAACCTTTAAATTGGAAGAGTTCAAATGTGACTTCAGGGGTAAATGTTAAAGTCTTACAAGAGAAAATGTTTAAGGGACGGCAGCAAACCTCGATAATGACATCTTGTTTGTTGATAGTCTGCTGTTAACAATCGCTATCGCACCGGCGCTTGATAAAATTGGCTGTTGCCGTCAAACGTTCTTGTGACCATCATGGTGGGGAAACGAAGCGGTGAACGCACATTTTTTGCGCATGTGATATTTTTCACTGTCTCATGGCGATATCACCAGCGCCCCTTAAAACCAATGTATTTTCGGAGTGTGACAGATTTTTGTTTAATTTTCTCCCAACCAATCAAATAGCTAGAAATTCATTTGAGGTGTAACAATATTAAATATCTTTTCCTAAAAGTTTGCTGAATAACATGTCAACAAATATTTTAAATGTTATTTAATTCAATACATATATAATACAAACATGTAAGTTGTGTATATCAAATCAGATGTAACAAAATAGAAAATTGCATGCATGTAGTACAGTATTGACAAAAGATTCAGACAACAGGCTAAGCCTATATCATTCTTATTCTATTTTTGATATAAATTACAGATGTATACTATGTTGTCACTAAATTAAAAGCCAAGTGATAATTCAAAGGATAATTGATTGAAATATTGAAAAATATTGAGACAAGATTTATGTAAATGATGACATGTGCATGTTAGATAATGATTTCAATACAAGTGCTGATTTTAAATTCTTCACAATTTTATTTCCTTTATTCTTTCTTTTTCACAGGAGGTTACAGATATTCGTAGCTCCGAGGAGGAAAATGTCAGCGAAGACGAAAATGGTCACGCAGTCCAACCTAACAATAATCACAATCACAATCACAACCACAACCACAACCACAACAAGGTCAAGGCCGTGTCTTAGTGGTGCCGCCGCTGGGGGCAGCCAAGCGCGCCAGGGGGCCAACAACTCAAGTCCAGATACCTGCCTCTGTTTGTACTCTTTAATTAGACAAAGCTTTTGACCGTGCAATGGTGTTGCTGTGCGTTGTACATGCAGCTCAAACAGATACATGTTATGACTTTTTTTTTCTCGTTAGGCATAAATGGTTGTTGTAACTGACAGGTTTTTAGTCCAGCACTCGTTAATACTGTTGACAAATGTGATGGAGAGTTACTTCCCCTGGCAGCTCTACTGTGGTGAGGCCAAAATATTGTAAGAGATTGCAATGATCATTTTTATGTCCTTAGACGCCTTAAAATGGTGGTCAGTCTCCTAGCGAAAGTATTCAGCTGAGTGGCTGTTGTGCAATATATGATGTTATTGTTAATATGGACTTTCTGTGAGTCAATGTAGCATGTTGTAAGGTGATTTTTTGTATTCTGTCACCTAGCATGTGTGTTGTGAGTGAAGAATGTGATTTCATAATGATATGTGCAAGTGTTCCGACTTCAGGCCTGTTGTATAATAGGTCAGCCATAGCTGATTGTGTGTGTCGTCAGTGATATGACACTGGTCATGTGACCTGTGTATCCTTGACAACTCCTCGGCTTGTATTCATGAAACCATTCTCTTACTCAAATATGCTTTCTATTCTCTCTATAATCGTAGACACAGTCAAAAAGTGAAGTCTTACCTTTGAAAATTGTGATCGGCTTCCATCAAAATATGTGATTAACCCAAACCCCTCTTGGTGCCAAAGAACCCCAGTTTCTGTTAATCTTTCGCTTGTAATACAATAAGACATTATATTATCCACTAGTAAAGATAAAATTTGGAAATTGATGGGCCCAAAAAACATCTTATAGGCACCCATCTTTTATATAATTTATCACTAGAACAAGGAATTTGGCTTGAGCAAAGAATCTGAATTTGAGCACGAAAATGTTTCATGAATAGAGATCAGGTGAGCCTTGTCTGTGCTGAGATAAACAAGACTATTGGCCAAGTGTCCAGTCAAGACTATTGGTCAAGTGTCCAGTCTTACCAGTGAAATGACTAGTCCATTGCAAGTTATTTTGGTAGACAGAAAGTCTTCATGTCCAAAATCCAAGAAACTGGAGAGATTTGAGCAGCGTTGAGACACAGGTGTGAGGATACGAGGCCTGATCGGTTGATCACTGTATACATGAGCATGGACCAGGTGTTGTGAGGACCAAACTCACAGCATCATTGCTCATTCTTCTACACACACAAACTCAGCAGGTTCAGCGTCGGGAGATATAGTGTGGGAGTGTCCAATTTCAATTTCAATGCAGTAAAGCTCATTGTAGTCATGTATATGTTAAGTGTAGGTCAGTATGTAATAGCAATTATGTATGCGCATATAAACTGGTAATTTTATTTATATTCAAACTTTTGCAATGAATTAGGACTTGAAGTTTGCATTAAATGGCTATATATACGTGAACACATATATATTTGAATTTTTAAACAGTTTGTTGAAAGTTACATTTAAAGTATAAGCATTATAAGAAGGATTCAAAGCAATGTGTATAAGTATACTTTAATGTGAAGTGTTGACCGAGGGAAGGTAGCCAGTATTCCAGGGTATTCTGTATACACAGTCAGCAATAGTGTACTGGCCGTACTTGTATTGTCGACACACTCAAACATTCTTCGATTATTCATTGAAAAGAAACATCATGTCCAAGTTTATAATTCCAATTGTTTTGTAATTTTTGTATAAGTGCTATAAACAAAGCTTATGAGATTAAAATTGGTGAAGACTATTGGTCCAGAACGACTGTAGAAAGGTCAAAGGTCATGATGCCCTCCATCACACCTGGGCACATTGTACAGATACACATATTGTTTTTACTTCTAAAGTAATCAGATTCAAGCAGTTTGATTATAGTCCTCAGCAGGTGCAATCTCAGTATTGTCCATAAATTATGCGAATAAGGTATCAAAATAGGGGAAAATCATATATTTTTAAAATCAAAGAAAAGAGAAACCTTATTCATTTTCAACTATTTTTCGATTTTTCTCAAAATGTATAAATCTGTGCAAAAGTACCTGTCACATTTACAGAACCCCTTAGATAAGTGATAGCGAAATTTTACAGCTTATTATAGCAAAAAATAAACTTATTAATAATCTATTACTCCATTCTTCCACCAAGTTGGTGTTTAAACAACACACAGCAGCATTACTAAGAAAATATATGACAAACATTTCATGGTATTATACCTGCCAATTAAACAGATACTTGTAAGCAGATTTGACAGGGTGTGTAAAAGTCAAACGTATGGTGGGTTCTGAGGTTTAATTGTGTCTACATGTAAATAGATATGATTTTGGGTTATCGTGATTGCATATTGACAGTGTTAGTGATAAAAGAACTGCTATCACCTGTTATAGCCTGTTATCTGAGGTTATCTCAGGGGCAGGTAATCGGCCAGGAGGCGCCACCAGTACACGGGTGCAGTCTGATCCTTGATCCTCCTTGATCCAGCTATACAGTACTAGTGTACGGTTGATATGTGTCTGGGTTACACATCTCTAACACTGTCAATTAACACTACATGCAGAGTTAGAGCACTTTATACTGTAAATATAATAAAACAAACAGCTATAGAACCAAACAAACAGAGTATAGCCTGTGGACAAATCTGAACAAATCCTATCTTTGGTGGTGGTGACTTGTCACTGTAATGTCGGATCAGATACAGATACTTGATATCCAGCCCCTCTAATGTCACAATTAAAATATTGAAATAATCAACAATCAAATTGTCATAAATCTTACCATACCTGTACACATGGCAGATTACAGGGGAGTGCTGATAATCAAGCAACCATTTTTTCTAAGTAGATAATCCAGCCATCTTTATTCCCAGAAGATAATCCAGCCATCTTTATTCCCAGAAGATAATCCAGCCATCTATATTCCCAGAAGATAATCCAGCCATATTTATTCCCAGAAGATAATACAGACATCTTTACTCCCATTAGATAATCTGGCCACCTTTATTCGCAGTAGATAATCCAGCCATCTTGTGAGACAGCCAGATAAATTAGATAATTTCACAAAGAGCAGGCCAGTCTGTTCTCTAAATCACTGGCTGAATTGTGGGACAGCTGGATTAGTGGTGACTGGAAATTGGGACAACCAGGTTAGTGGTGACTGGATAGTTGGATAAACATATAAGTGATGTCTGGATAATGGGTCCCCAGATATTGAGGCAACCTGATTAGTTGTTGCTAAATAGACAACCTGATTAGTGGTGGCTGGATTAATGATACGACTGTATAAGGGTATACTAATTACCGTTTCATGTTAATCTGTACGATTGACCACTCGGTTATCTAAGCTTGAAAGGCTGTGTCCTTGATGCTTAAATGAAATGTTTTGATATTATGGATGTTGTACAGTGTATGATACTGCCAACAGGGAGAGTGCCAGTTATAATATTTAGAAAGTTGCTTGTTGCAGTTTGTACGGATATTTGTCCCAATAAATTGTCTGTCAAGGTCAAATGTGCTTTATAACTTTATAACGAGTGACCTAATACGTTAGCTTATGACCTGAACAAGAATATCAACTGGTCAATTATTTCATTTTGTTAATACAGTGTAGTACAAAGACAAGTTGGTCATCCCACAAAGTTTGACCACCCATGTGTCTGACAAAGGGTCATGTGACCAGGACCATGGTGGCGTTTTTTGAACCAGTGTCCTTCATCATATGCTAGGTTTAGCTTACTCATGTTTACCCACCTAGGAGGTATGTTCGATCAAAATGTCTGTATTTGTTGTGAGATTTTTATGATACAGTAACCTTTCTATTATTTCACTGGCGATTTAGCTATCACCACACTTCACATCTGTCATGACTGAACTTTGACCTTTCGTTATATTGACTGAAGCAGTCATTGTTGACTGCTGTTTTACCTGTTGTTGACAGTGTGAACAGTCGTCTTAAGATTTTCTATACATTGTAAATAGTCCCAACAGGTTCACTGTGTTCGGTAGAATGACCCAAACATCTAGTAGCTAAAATCATAACTAAAATATGATGCAAGACGTATGACGGTTAACAGGTTAAAATGTTGGTATGCTTCGACATGTTAATGTTTACCTGTATTTGAGACAATAGCTAGACAGAGACTTCAGTTCAAATTGACCAACCTTTCATAAACAAGATACCAGACAGAGATTCGTTCCAAGACTTTCTTTATAAATTCAGGATGGTATGTTATATAAAAACATTAAACTCTTGATGAAATTTTAGTTAAAAATAAGAAATTCAGGATGATATTTGTATATGGTACCTGCTATTTAAAAGTGTTTTAAAATGAGGGGTGTAACCTCACTAACAGGGTGTGGTTTCCTGGTGTGGGGGCGTAAACTCACACTGAGGGGGTGTGGTCTCCTGTTGAGGGGACATAACCTTACTATAAGGGGCGTGGTTTCCCAGTTTGGGGTGTAACCTCACTTAGGGGGTGTTGTCTCATGTTGAAGGGGCGTAACCTGACACTAAGGGGATGCTGTCTCCTGTTGAGGGGGCATAACCTTGGGGGGGGGGGGGGGTCCCAGTGTGGGGTTTAAGTTTGTACTCCTCGTTATAAAAAGTGTAGCCTTGTAAAAATACAGCACAGTTAAACTATAACCTCATCAACATGTAAAAATCATAATGATGAAATCCAGCATTTCCAGCATTCATTTTCTTTCATAATAGTTTTTTTTACAATAAAAAAAAAAATGGAAATAATAATAAAAAAAAAGTCTATTTTGACTATGATCATTGATCTATAATTTGTTATGCTACTCCTATCTACCTTGGCTGTTGATACTGAAGTTTTTATCAGGATGTACCTCCGTGAACACTTAGTTGTTTGTATGGGTCAGGTTCTTATTGTATTATATACAGTATATTTTAATATTTCAGTCATTCTGTATATGAATTTGATTTTTTGAATGTTGTTCATATTTCTAACTCAGTGGAGAAAAATGTGTGAAAACCAACTGTAACTGAAGATCTTTCTCAAGAAGCTGAAGCCAGTTTTATGGGTCCTTCATATCCTTCCTTGACTGTAAACGCCTGCTAAAATTTCTGTATTTGATATTTATTGATCTTAGATCTGGACCATGAGCAAATTCAATACAAATATTCATAATTTCATAATTATTTAGATCACAATTTAGGATATTCAGTGGTTTGAAATTACCTGGTAGCAATAAAGCAAGAATTTAAAATCGAAAGATTCAAAGCTGATGCAAAAATAAAGAAGTCTTTTTGAATTTTCATCAAAGTTTAATAAACACATTGTCGGGGTGAATACAATTTTCAACAAAGGCAGGTGAGTGATACAGGCTCTTTTTACTGTTAAAATAAATAAGAAATAATTAAAACGGTTGAACCAATGGGTGAGCAAGAACAGGCCATTGGGGTAGATGTTTAGTATCTAAATGCTCCATGGGCACAAATAATGTGCAGATTATTTTGGCCTTTGTGTAATACTGTACTGTATGTTCTGTCTGTGGTTGAGTGGATTTTAATTGATATTACAGTTGCTTACTGTTTTTAACATTGCTGTGTTCGTTCCCATTGTTATGTTGTAATAAATGTTTTGACATTGTAGGTTTTGTTTTTATTCTGCTTCTAAATTTAACTAAATCAGAATACAGAAGCAGTTTTGGTTATTGCATCGTACAGAACCCGTTTTAATTAGTACTCAAGTTTAAGATAAAAGTTCCTGTATTTATGATAACTTTATAAGCTTAAGGCAAATAGAACATCATGAACGGACATTTCTTAAAGTGAGGTGAATGATGCCAAGTCAGGTTTTGTACTAAATTACTCGCTACCTTCTGTTGAGAGCGTAATAGAAGTTGTGTGCCTTTGACTCTTGGTAATGAGTGGACAACTTTTGATGAGGGATCCAAATTTTTACTTTTTGCGATGAACTTTTTTTTTATATAATCAGTTTAAGTGAAGTGTGTCTTGGTGTTTTTTTGTGTCTCGGCATTCATTAAAACATGTTCTACTGTCAACTTAAGTATCAATGTATAAGTTCAGACACATTTTAAATTCCACCCAGTAACATCTTTTCTCTGTAATATTGAAAAATAATAACCCGATTCGAAGCTTTTATTAACCTGATCTTGTATTGACCTGATCATGTATTGACCTAATCTGAGTTGTTTTATTATCATTTGATCGTAATAAGTGTTGACAACATTAGGTATCAATAGAGTTAACATCTGATTTAAATGCTACAAAATCCAGAATCATAAAACATGTATCACACATTACCTGTTATAAGACCATGCTCAGTAATAAGCCCCCCCCCCCCATTAAAACCAGATCATCTAGGCTTATTTGTATTATAATGTTATATAATGATGCATTAAATACACGCCTGTTTGTATTGTGGTCAGTGTGTGTTACACATCTAGAACTGGTCAGTGTGTGGTACACATCTAGAACTGGTCAGTGTGTGGTACACATCTAGCCCCGATCAGTGTGTGGTACACATCAAGCATCGGTCTGTGTGTGTTACACATCTAGAACTGGTCAGTGTGTGGTACACATCTAGAACTGGTCAGTGTGTGGTACACATCTAGCATCGGTCAGTGTATGGTACACATCTAGCATTGGTCAGTGTGTGGTACACATCTAGAACTGGTCAGTGTGTGGTACACATCTAGCATCAGTCAGTGTGTGTTACACATCTAGCACCGGTCAGTGTGTGGTACACATCTAGCATCGGTCAGTGTGTGGTACACATCTAGCATCGGTCAGTGTATGGTACACATCTAGCACTGGTCAGTTTGTGTTACACATCTAGCACTGGTCAGTGTGTGTTACACATCTAGCACTGGTCAGTATGTGTTACACATCAAGCAGTCAGATGTCCAGCAGAAATGACATGTGTACATACACAATTGCTTGTATTGTGGTCAGTTTTAATGTCCAGATGTGGGATGTTCAGTGGGAATTTATGTGTATATATATACACACTTGTTTTTATTGTGGTCGTTTTAACATCCAGTGGTCAGAAGTCCAATGGGAATGATTTGTATTTACCTGCTTGTTTATATTGTAGTCAGTGTTAACATCCAGTGGTCAGATGATATCCACTGATGGGGGTGTTAGGGTGTGTACCAGGTATCTAGTCAAGAAGTCCCACACCCTTTATGTTGGTGATAAAATATAAACTGTCTTGCCTACAAACACTCAAAGTACATAAGGTCATATACATTAGCATAAGGACTTAAAAGATATATCAGTCCAGCTGAAGACGATATTTAATCATACGGCAACTTTTATTATGAGGCCGATTTACAGTTATGTAAGATAATTTAGGTGGTATGGAGGCTTACAATAAGAATTCTTTCAATTCTGGCTTGTATGTGATACATACTTGATCATGCATCAGAAATATTATGATCCTTACAGTCAAACATAAATCACTTCTTCAACTGTCAGCTCTTAACATTTTATTTTAAATCAGTTTCAAAAAACTTAAAGTCTCTGAATTTTCTGTTTAATATTTTTGAAGCAGTAAAGAAAATAGTATTTTACCTTCTAATTTGACGTTGACATTTTAATGTCAACGGAATTAGGAGTCTTACCTCCTGCTGATTTACGCCCTGCTGTTGTGTAACATGGCCATAAAGTCGCATCGACTGTTGGTTTAGTTCCCGGATTAATCTGATGTACACTGTAGTATTATTGTCATCGGTCACGGTGTGGGAGTGATCGGAGAGAGAGAGTGCGGGTAAATTATACACATTGGAAACATGTATCCAGTATTTTGTTATGGGTGATTTACTTTAAGGGGAATTTTTACTCTTTGTATCAAGTGCTACAATAATATATCTGATCGTGACTGTGTGAAGATAAAACACGTTTATTTGTTTCATTAAAAACATGTTTAGATTTCTGATCATTTCTGCTAGATGTTTTTAAGATTTCAATGTTGTTGTCAGTAGCTTTAAAAGAATTTACATAAATCTAGATTTTTCCGAGACCCCAGACATGTTTATGATATAGCTATGGGGATATTTATATAGTGATGCAGATTCTATTACTTTGATGGTTATCTTCCTCCAAATGATTTTTTTTATATTCTTCTTCAACAAAAATTGTCTTGCCAATGAGATTCCTAGAGAAGTCAGTAGGTACTTTATTCTGCATGCGACATCTGTAGTATTTATAGTTTTATAGCAGTACTCAGTAAATATTCAGTCCTTCGAAAATCAGATTTAATATCCACTTGGATGCTCAACGTTCATAAATGTGGAATCGGATATGTGATTTTGATGAAATTGATCAATGTACTAAACCTAGCCAGCTATATTTTTATGTCCGAGTACTTACTATGAGATTAAATATTCGTACTACTGTATATTTGTAAATCAAATAGAAATAGCTATTTCTGATTTTACAGCATATTTCTAATACCTATTCATTAAACTTGTCATGTATTTTTCTATTTTACAAATTTTGAAGCTAGAAGTATTCCTGCTAGCCGAGCTCTTGCCTTGCCCTTGAACTTGAGCTCTTGCATTGACCTTGACCTTCAAACTGTGAATCCCTTATGCTTTGAGTGGTAAATTGTTCCATTATTTTGCAAGAAAAGACAATCACAAGCTAGATGTGATTATGTGTGCAGACAATCGCAAGCTAGATATGATTATGTGTGCAGACAATCGCAAGCTAGATGTGATTATGTGTGCAGACAATCACAAGCTAGATGTGACTTAATCTGTTTCCCCCTCAACTGTTACAGGTTCTATACTCCCAGCTTATTGTTGAATAGTTTCAGTGTGAAATAACACCATGCTGTGTGACATCACATTGTCCTTATTAACTTTCATGTATGGGAGGAAACAAAATATCCAACTTGAAATGATCTGTTATTGTTTTTATCCATTCTTGTGAGCTAATTCTTAGATGATATTCTGCTCACTAAAGTTTGTAGACTTGAGGATAAATTCACTGTTGGGTAAAAAATAATATCATCAACCATGGATATCATTCCTTATCCAGCCTCTTCCATTCTATGGTAAAACCCTTGCAAATAATACGTCTGAAGCATAAACGGGAAAATTATTATTCATGGAAATAAGTGGATTTACAGTCGGTTCACGCTCATTTGATTTGGTTGTAATTGCTCTTTTTTGTTAAGTTGAAGTGATCATTTTGAAATATTTATGATTTTGTAACTTACCTGGAAAGAAATGACATGGATTTAGTTATCCTTGATTTTTCCAGGAAGTAACACCTTGTCTTTACATTTAACCTTATTGATTCGTCTAATTACTGGTAAAACTTATAATTGGTACTTCTATTTATTCCCATCTGTTCTTTTTATATTTTCATTTTTTCAATTTTTCATTAAGTGGTTGTTATTTTCTATGTTATTCTAATATGTGTTCGTCAAGTGTATGCACTTGGAATATAAACAGTTAATTTTTCTTATGAAAATATTTCAAATGAACATGAAATTCAAAATGATATTGACTTTTAATTTGAATAAAATTGGTTTCACAATAGACTGTTAACATTTTCCCCTCTTCCGAGAGCAGTAGATTTTACACTTGACATAGACCACAGTGAATCGGTATGAAGCAAAGCAAAAATATTTTTACTATCGCATGATATAGATGTATTTCAAATAAATCTTTTAAAGCTTTTACTAATATTATAGAGCTGGTTTTGTGATTCTACAGGTAAACGTGTGAGAGAGGGTTAGCTAGCTACATCCTGACTGTCAAGTTCTACTGGCTGCATATCTTAATCTGATTTCTTAATATAAATTTTGAGGATTCGGTTCAGATACAAGCCACATATACCAGACTAGTATGGTAACCAGTCAGTAAGACTGTAACAAATGTATCACGCCACTGGCCGTTCGTTCCTTCAGCATTCCAACAAAGTCACTTCTAATGCAAGGTAACCTTTGTTTACTATTGTAATCATGGCACATAATGGAAAGCATCTACTCCACACAGACTTTCATGTGTCGGGGAAAGATACAGAACTACACTGCCTTAAAACAAACCTGAACCAATGAGAAGGACTTTTATTTGGGAAAGATAAAGAATTACCTGGCCTTGAAACATACCGATTCTAAGTAGTGACGTGATGAATTTAAATACAGACCTGATGTACGTTAGCGCTGTGAATACTTTTAGAACATCTAGGATGCATGTTAGCGCTGTGAATACTTTTAGAACATCTATGATGCATGTTAGCGCTGTGAATACTTTTAGAACATCTAGGACGCATGTTAGCGCTGTGAATACTTTTAGAACATCTAGGATGCATGTTAGCGCTGTGGATACTTTTAGAACATCTAGGATGCATGTTAGCGCTGTGGATATGTTTTAGAACATCTAGGATGTATCATATGTTAGCGCTGTGGATATGTTTTAGATACATCTATGGTGTACAGAGCGGTGGGGAATGTCCGAGTAGACCTTTGATATACAATGTTAAATAAGCCATGTCTGGATTTGATGTTCCAAGAATATTTGTCAATAAAATATTTCATTTCTTTCATCACAAGTTTGTTTGTATTTACCTGGTTTTGCCAAACATAGTGCGCCACAGAACAGGACGCCCCTGGGATCACATAATTCTGTTGTGTTGTACAGACCTCCTTGTTTTAGTCACTTTAAACAAATATTGCATTAGTCTGGTTTTCAAAGTACTATACTTGACCTTACAAACATTATTCGATTTTGTCCTTACTAGATAGCATGCAGTGGCTTAGTCCTTCACCGTGACTTGGTCTTCGTTATCCCCTACATATACAATCCATCCATATGTCGGGGTCCGTGTCCGCACAATAACTTCACATCATTTAGGTCAATACAAAGTTTCCTTGCCAAAGTGAGTGTATGACGTGGTCGATAGAGCGATCGCTAACAATGAGTAGAAAGGTAGTGGCAGAAAGAAAAAAATAAAGAAAATATATTGTCTCGGAAGGATATTTGATGATAGATTTCTGGTACAGGATTTCATACCCTGTACACCAAACTCTGTCTGATGACGACAATGACGAAACGAAGTTCAAACAATCAAAGAGATTGGGCACAAATTCTGACAAATTACTAGGCCCAATACAACACGCAGTAATTAACTAAATATATAACACGTGATGAGTGACAAAAATGCAGCATATATAACTACCTACATAGTCAGTCTACTACTTGACATGAAAAGGGAAAGGTAAGAGAAGGGACAGGAGGGGGAATGAAACCTCTTCTTTGATTTTATAAATGATTGCTTGGAATGGAAGATCTGCATCTCCCCATATAAGAGTATCCAGATTTGGGACTGGTTGAATACCAATGTTTAAAAGGGCATTAAATAATCGTATTCGAGGATTGTGCACAGACAAACGAATTATGATTCGTACCTTCAATAACTTCCCGGAATCAATCACTTTCAAGACCTCTTCGTGTAGAATTTGATGTCTAATTAGTGCTAAAAGTTCTACATGATGAGATATTGTTAACAGAATTATCAAGTCCATTCCAAAAATTTATTGTAGAAGGGATAAATGATTTTTTAATAATATCTAATCTACAGTGTGGTATTTGATAGTTATCGGGATTACGAAAATCACAATGAAGATCATTTCTTCTGAAAGGAAGCAAACTATGAAGAAAATCTGGTACTTATCTATTATGCATCTTATAAAAAGTAGAATGTTTAATATTTTTTCTCTCCTAGATTTAAAAGGTGCCCATCCAGTTTCAAAGAAATTAAAGTGCCTCACAAGAGGCGACAAAGGGTAGACCAGATGAAACTCCGGCTGCTTCTAACTGCACCCTCTCCAATGCATTTGACAGTTCAACAGAACATTCAAGAGTTGGTCTTATGAAAGTTGTATATTTACATTTGCCCCCGCGCCGTCCCATTACAACAGTGTTAGAGGGCAAGTGTAATTATATAGGCTATAATTACAACTGCTCGACTATAATTACAACTGCCTGTTTCAGGTGTAGGAATATGTAAACAAACAAGATGGCCGCCTGAAATGTATTTTGAGGCAGGGCAAATGGTTTTTGTAGGAATATGTCTTAAAAAAGAAAAATATGTAAATATAAAAAATACCTGGTTGTCTGGATGTAATTATTGTTGATATAATTACAAGTGACCTCTGGCAAATCCCATAAAACCCGAGGGGGGGGGTTTATGGGATTTGCCAGAGGTCACTTGTAATTATATCAACAATAATTACATCCAGACAACCAGTTATTGTTTAAATATATAGTATTTAATGTATCCTTACTAACTTTGTATTTCAATTGTTTTAATGCATAGACTTTAGACGAAGCTGTTTTAATTATTTGATGCACATGGTCATGCCGTTTGCAGTTACTTCTGAGAAACACTCAAAGATGACAATAGTAAGTTACCATTTATGCCATACTGGCGAAGTTTGATTAACAGTCCATTATGCCATACTTTATCAAACGCCTTGGAGAGGTCGCAAAATACAACACACGAATATTCTTTTCTGTCAATGGCAGAAACAATATTATGATTAATCTCGATCAGCAGGTAAACTGTCGAATGTCCTTGCAGGAATACAGATTGATTTTTATATAAAAAAAATGATTGTCCCTTGCAAAATTGAAGACGTATTTGTAATAAGGTCGATGATTTGCCGGAAGGTGACAGGTACCTTAAGCTTTCTTAAACAAGGGTAAAACACGTGCTTTCTTCCATTTAGTTGGAAAGGAACACTCGCCGGATATGACGATTAAATAACAATGATAGAGGACAGCCAGACCAGCAATTCCAGAATGGATAGATATTTCATATACGGAATAACTAAGGCAGTCGATCATAGCTTGGCAAATGGACCAGTGGGCCGTCGGCCTTGAAAACGTTGCGACACGTTTAATACGTACATTGTTTGCGTATGAAGTAAAACTTTATGAATCTTATTGAAGAATAGAAACTATCAATACGTCAAAAATACCTTTACCAGCAGACACAATGAGAGGTAGTTCAGGATCATTAGAATGTCTCCAACAAAAGTAAAAGAGTAACGGGACCGACGTCCGGTGGCGCATGTTCCTGCAAAACGAATAGCCGAATACTAGGTCAGTAAACGTATAAAGATACAGGTCAGGGACAACATGTGCCTGTTACCCGACCTATCCGGAATGTATGACAACGATCGGACAGAGGAGATATTTACTATTGCTCAGACGATCTTGCTATTTTTGTACACGGAGGTGTGATATGCATGCACGTGCATTTTCAATGATAATACTGATAACAAATAATGGAAGGCTTCTCAAAAGACATTTTGTACATGTGCAAGTTCCGGTGAAGGAGCATGGTGTACAGAAATGTGATGAATTTGTAGTCGATTTTAATTTTCCTTTGTTGAACTCTGCGTGGAATATGTAACACAGCTTACCTTTGTTTTATGTAACCTTATTCTCTTGTTTATCTTGCATCGTTATGGTAACCAATGAGAACGTGTATTATTTAGTACCACTGGTGACTCCTAGTGGACGAAATGGTCATCTGGTGCAGTAAAATGTTTAATTTGTTTGGCTCTCTGCGTCTACAAACAAAATTTTCAAATATGTGGCTCATTTCTTTGTATTCCTAGTGATTAGTCAATTTTCAGTATTCGATTGTATGAAAACAGAGCGGAAACACACATTCACGCATTACGTAAAATATAGCTGTACATGTGAGTCTGTTGGGAGTTAGTCAAGGTGAGACTTTGTTAGACTTATGATTTCATTACCAGTAATCAAGGGTCGATCATCGTCCAGTCAATCAGCCTAGTCCCAAGTGACTTCACCCACAACACATGCGGGTCACAGAGTGCAAACTTATTGGACAATTAAACAATATCATGTTGTCGAATCTTGTACAGAATTTACGCGAGTAGTAGAATATAGCACAACCTATATGCTGACTTCTTGCTGAAAGAAATTCGTTAACATAGAATATTTTGTATATACACTGTGGTATACTGCCTCATCCATGGAAAGTCTTTTTTCCGGACCGACAGGTAATTTGATAATTCAGATAATTCTCAATAAAATGATTCGAAAATGATAAAAACTCATTGGAATTTTGTTTATCCAAAATGACTGATAATTCCAAAATAATGCTCTTGAAATTAATGATTCGATGTTTCAGATAATTCACTGAAACGTCCCTAACAGAATCAGAAAATGAAACCTGGTGGACATATTGTCTAAAAACGGATTTGTCGACGCTCGGGGAATCTTTTCCGAAGAATAATAATACTCCCCGAAAATTATATGGACCTTGCTTCTAAATTGGTAATCGCCAACAAACTTGAACTGGAAATCTGTAAAACTGACTGGAAACTTGTTAACGTAGACACGAGTAACGGGTAAAACTGACTGGAAACTTGTTCGTGTAGACACGAGTAACGGGTAAAACTGACTGGACACTTGTTTGTGTAGACACGAGTAACGGGTAAAACTGACTGGAAACTTGTTCGTGTAGACACGAGTAACGGGTAAAACTGACGATATACTTAGAATTTGATAAACATTTTATTAATATGAAAAATAAATGTTTTTCCCTAATTTCATCCTGAAATAATACCTCTGGAATGCGGATTATGATGGATAATTTCAAGAAATGATCCGATGTTTTAATTTTTCTTGTTAATTGTGAAAATGTTTATTATTCTGTGTATTTAAGAATCCGGATCACCGACATCCGCTGTTACACAGATGTTACCAGTAGATTGAGTGGTATTTATACATTTCTATGAGTACTTTAGTTTTCTTCCCAATTAATATGCCAGCCAATGAATCCGATTTCCTCTTCCATGTAAAGGTCATGTTTCAGTTTCTTTTGCTTTGGCGGTATAGTCCCCGATGAAATTTGCATGATACGGTGAAAACATGACATACGGAATTTATATGCGATTCATGTCGGACTTGGTTTAAGACATTTATTTTAAAGTTGGTCCCAGTATTTTAGCATACGCGATTGTTTTCACACTGCTAAACCTATTAATGTACATAATTAAGCTCGGTATGTTAGAAAAAAGTTGGCCAGTGTTATAACCTTACAGAACTGATTGTACGAGGCTACTGCAGTGTCTGCAGAATCAAGCATCTTCTTCTGAGGTATCTTAATTGTAATACCGAATAATGAACTTGATCTGCAACTTATTTCGCATTATTTGATTTTTTTTATCATTTCTGCAAGTCTCATAGGTTCTTTCGTCTCAATGTGTCTCCCTCGAGCAACCCTACAGTTATATTTGGCTGAACACTTATATTTTGGTTGTCCATGTTCTGGCCAACCCCGTTGTTTTGTGATAGTCTGCCAGTATGTAATGCTAAGGGCCTAATTGAGACTTCTTTTGAAGAACTTTCGTTTTCCTATTTTTGTCGGAAGCAAAGGTAACTATGACTTGTCTTTATTAATGTCTTTATCCCCGGAGCTTGGGAAAATCCCATCAAAGAAAACCGTTCTCCGATCATGATTGACCTCTGACAATTTAAGTCTTGACACTCTCACGAAAGGTA